TAAAATCCATCTAGGATAATATTGGTAGGGAATTGTCACGCTAGACAATATTTCTAGTGACACCGTTTGGTGTCAATATCATGCAACGGTCTACCCCGTTATGTAACCACCCCTAAACCATCAATCACCCGTTAACTGAATAAGAATTAATATAGACAGGGTGACCACCGGTCGATCACTCTCGGGAAAGGAGAACTTGCTGGTCAAATCCCGTTTATTTACCAATCCAACGCATGGTTTCAAAATCAAAGCGAGTTTCTACTGTCGCAGCAAGAAAGGGCGGCTGCACGCATTCGTGCAGCCGGAGAGAGCACTTCTCACACCTCAGCAGCAGGTGATTTGTCGCCTGCTGTTGTGAAAAATCCACGTGGTGAGTCACCACGTGCAACAGGTACATCCACTGCGTCTGCAGCGGGTGCCGCGAGTCGTAAATCTAGATGAGTCGGAAATAGAGCTCATCTATTCCGGCGAGTCGGATGATGCATCCGACTCGAAGGCGACACCTCACGCCTCCGGATCATCCGGGGCGGATACTACAAGAGCTAGGTTGACTGGCTCTGGGGAACGTGGCGGCATCATGTCTGAGATTTTCGGATCGAGCGATTCTTCCGATGATAGGACGCGTGGTGATGGTAATGATGCACCAATACATCATCATGAGCGAAGTAACTCGAGGGATCAAGCTGTCACTGGTGTCAGTGCTCATGCTGACATTAATTAAGAGGCCAGGTACCAAAATTTCCTACGCCACGTTCCCATGTGGAGTCTCGTTGGATGCCGCTATCCAAAGAGTTGGACCGGTCGGCCGGCATGACTACCGATCGAGATCGAATCCCGTTGTTCGACTGTAAGAGGAAGTATCCTTCTAATTCCTGATTCCAGCAAGGAAACTATCCGTGCTGTGTAAGAATTCTTTACCGATGCATTTTCAAACATCGTGGTACAAGGGGTAGCCGTGTTCGAGACGGTAAAGCCTTGGTGCAAGGATGGAATGCCCTTATCCATAGCATCGAGTTTATTGGTCGTGATGCCTGGCTCGGTAAACTTGATGCAGCTCGCATCAGGTTTAAGAAGCGCAACCCAGTCGGGGTGCAAAACAAGTTGCACCGGCTGTCAAGAGAGGCAGGATTACCCTGTCTCTCTTGGGGTGATTCGTGTCTAGGTTGCATGGACAACTCGAATCGTGTCTCTAGGGAGGCCTACCTCCATACTGTCCCTACTTAAGGACGCGTATCTCTTCTGAGATGGACGAAGAGATTGACACTTTGCAATCCCAGTACTCACGTTCGGGGAGGTCGTTTTTCCGACGGCCCTTCTTCGAATGCAGCGGGTTGGTCTCGTTAAATTACTCCACGAGACCCAGAACATCAACAATCAGCTGGGCACGAGGCTCCCAGCTTCCCCAAGCCGGTGGATAGCCATTCCAGCGGACGAAATAATTCGTCCGGACGCCATTCACGTCGCGGTGGCTCAAAATACGTTCCACTACGAAGCGTAGACCACCGCATGAGTCCATCAAAGGATGTGGTGGCGGCAGGAACACCTGATCCGCCTCAAGGGTCGTATCAGCTTGATGTTCAGGAGCCGAACCGTGTAACGTAACAGTTGCAAGATGACCTGGATCACGAACGGAATCGGCGTCATGAGCTCCATGATCTTGTAAAGGATAATTGCAATTACTTAGCGCACGATCGTTCGGACGATCGTGCCACGTTTGCGTTTGCGCAACTTGAGAATGAACGTTCGGCTCATTCTCTACGTGACGAGATGACTGCAGCTCGTCGAGACATCGCTCAACTGCGTGAGCAGGTCGCTTCGCTGGTCGACCAGACTGGCTCGTTGAAACGGGACCACTCGAAGGTGGTCTCGGCTTTCGACTGCAGAGGTGTCCTTCGCATCTCGAAACGGGCTTGTACTGATAGTACGGGCGGAGACGACCAACGTAAAACGTAGGATGCGTACGCATCTTACGGGGCAGTTCAATCGTGTACGCGTTTTCCATTCGGCGCAACACACGAAATGGACCGTCTTACTTGGGCAGTAATTTACTGCTGCCCACGTTTGTCACCGCGTGTTTCGGTAAGTTTACTGTAGACAGAAAAACTAGGTCTCCTTCATCAAATGAAAGAACATTTGCTCTTTCATGTTTGCCCGAATTTCTTTCCTGTCATTCTAGTGCATCTGCAATAGAGTCTTGAACGAAGAGGACAACCGCATCGCGAGTTAGCAGAAATTCCTCTGCTAATTTATCTTTGTCAACAGCAGTGCGTTCGTGTGCACTGCTGGAAGAACGCTGTCTTAACCAGTGAAAGCGTCATCGGCCTCACTTTAGCAGTCATCTGTGATGATAAACATACCGGCATCGTCGTCATCATCATGATCATCGATGTCGATCGCATTAAAATCGGCATCCATCACATCGACACCATTGTCGACGGGTGATGAGCAAGAACCAGATCGGTTTTGTTTGAGCGAGTTCACCCCCCCCCCTTAAAATAGAGTTACAGCCTAAGAAGGCGGATAAACGTGGATGGCGCAGGCTATTCACGACGAACGTTGTAAGCGTTGTCGACGTATGCACCGAGTTGTTGATGGCGAATCCCGCCATTGGCAAGAACTCATTCTAACTCGCAAACGGGTGGACGTGCCCTCGAAGTATCTCTTTGAGGACGCGGTTGACGCGTTACGTCTGACCATCTTTTTCTGGATGATCAGAAGTCGACATCTATAAATGTGTTCCAAGTGAACGTAACACGGATTGTCAGAACTCTGCCGTAAAGCGGGGGTCTCCATCAGACACGAGCTCACGGGTAAAATCGTGAAGTCGGAAGATAGTATCGATGAAGACACGCGCACAGCCCTGGGCTGTGATTGACTTCGGTACAGCAACAAGAAAAACGATCTTGCTAAATCGATCAACAAACACAAGAATACCAGTATTCATGTGAACGTCTTTGGGATTCCGAAGACGAAGTCCATCGATGCGGACTGCCAACACGTAGTCGGACTCGGTAGAGGCTGCAATGGTGCGCGGGAGGAAGGACTAGGCTTCACCTGTTGACAAACTTCGCAAGCGCGAATGTAGTTGCGCACAAACTCATACTGGCGGGGCCAGTAGAAGTCACGACTGACCGTGAGGTAAGTCTTTTCTCTACTGCGATGCCCACTTGTTGGGGAATCGTGATACTCACACATGATGCGCAATCGCAAATCATAATGAGCCGGAACGACGACACCAGGTGTGTCGCCGTTGACTGCTGTACAGTACAGCAGTCCATCACGAACAAAAATACCCATCGGTTGAAGAGCGGTATTGAGACGACAAGCTTTTCAAAGCTATATTACACGGATTGGATCTGTATGTAACCCATCAATCGCAGAAGAGACTCATCTTCTGCGTATGCTTTTCGCACATCGTCGAGCAGATTCGACGACGGAACACTCACTGTTAGTGTCGCTACCGTGGGATCACCTCTACTGTTGGGTTGAGCAGTCGGCTCGAAATCGGGCCGACGCGAAAGAGCACCAGCGACGATATTTAGTCGTCCTAGTTAATGCTAGACGGAGAAGTTGTACTCCGCGAAAAAAGACAGCCACCTTGCCATTCGTTGCGAGAGGTGTGGACTGTTTACGGCCGTGCGTAACGACACGTGGTCGGTATAAACGATGAAGGGCCTATCTCGTAAGAGATATACCCGAAACTAATCCAGTGCATATTTCATGGCAAGGAGTTCTTTGTCATGCACCGGGTAATTTCGCTCAGCTTCTTGCAGCTGACGCGATTGATAACAGACGACGCGCTCAAAGCCGTCTGAGTCGTACTGCATTAGCGCACAGCCGATCGTAAATCGCTGGCGTCACAGACCACGTGGAATGGTCTGTCCTGGTCTGCAATCGCCAACACAGGCGATTGTATCAAGCTTTTCTTGATGCCTTCAAATGAGTGCTGACACTCAGCGCCCCATGACCACCTCTCGTTTTTCTTTAGCAGACAAGAGAGATGCACGGTCATCTTGGTGTAGTTGCGCGAGTACTTGTGCAAGTACGCCTCCAAGCCAAGGAACTTTCAAAGTCCCTTGACGTCGACTGGCATGGGCCAGTCGCTAATAGCCTTGATCTTTTACGGATCAGTGCGCAAACTGTTTTTACCCACGATGCAGCCAAGAAGTGGTATTTCGTTCGCTGCGAATATACAATTATTGAGGTTCGCGAAAAACTTGTGCTCACGCATAAGTGTAAGAACCCTTCGGACGTAGATTCTATGAACCTCCACTTCTGTCTTTCCATCCATAGCCCGGCTATGTACAAAGACATCGTCAAAGTAACTCGGTGCGAAATCGCGCACCGATCGCAACAGGTTCGTAACACATCTGTTGAACGTTGCAGGGGCGTTACTTAGCCCCTGTGGCATCACTAGCCACTCCCAGAGCATACCCCTGGGGGTGCTCACTGCTGTGTACGGGATGTCACGTTCACGCATTAGGATCTGATCGAATCGATCCATCAGATCCATGGACGAAAAGATGGTACTCTTTGACATACCATCAATGATTACGTCCTTCCTTGGTATCGGCTTCTGAGCCGGTACCGTTTCAACATTCAACTTGTCGAACGCGTGCACGATCCGCCACTTTTCTGTTTCCTTTTGCACACAGAAGGTCGGAGAGCTATGTGGGGAAGTTGATTCCCTCACATGACCAGCCGCTAAGCGATCGGCAAAGAATTTGTCGATCGCTGTGACCTGTTCACGAGACAGTGGTCAATGCTTCATGACACAGTATTTCGAACCGGGTTTCAGTTTGATTTCATGCCGAGTGCCTTTGTCTTCAGGCGACTCGCATGGCACAGATTCAAGGAAAACATTCCCTTGATTCAACCAAATCCTTATACAAAGGATTTGTCTTCAGATACTCCCAAGATTGAGACGTGTATCGCTCGATCCGAGTCTTCTCATTGAGGGTACTCTCGTCCATAGATGAGATACTGAGAACCCGTTCGTTCTAAGCAAACACTTGTGCCGACCGAATATCGGCGACGTACTCGTCCTCTGTGACAAGTACACAGATCTGCTTGATCTTGTCACTACGCAGATCTCGGAAGAACCTTTTAGATTCTACCCTTGGCAACTCGACTACCTCCAAAGCTGACTTCGGGGGCGTAACCAGATCAAGTGTATAAGCGCCTACACTTGATCCTTCATTCACCAAGACATTCATGGTCTCGGTGATTTCCTGGCAAACACACCCACAGGTGATTGGGGATTCACACCCTCAACATTACTCTCTCGGGAGTTATCACTCTCAGGAACGCTGGAACTTTCTTCCATTACGTGTACTGACTGTGGGTGCACTACCACAGTCACTTCTTCTTCGATCTAATCTCTTTCAATCGATCGGGCTTGCTGTACGATCGACTCTATGTTAGTCGATCTTGATGTAACGTGTTGTTCACCCTGAACAACGCTAATCTCTCTTCTTGGATGCACCCATCTTGGTGTGCATCCATGTTTCAGTCCACTCGATCTCTTCAAGTGGTGAACCTTCGGCACAACCTTTGTCTCTACACAGGTGCCGGAAACTGGTTCCACAGTGTAGTGGCCTTCTACACTGTTATCTTGTGTAGTCGTACTAACGACCGTACAACAAGTGAGGCCATCGCACTCACTTGTAGTACACCCACACGCTTGTGGGCGCTCCAAGACGCTCATCAGATGGCAATCAGATGAACAAACGGCAGGCATCTTCACGGATCGATGCTGCCAGCTAACCCATGGCTGGTACTTTCTAAGCCATGGCAGACCAAGGATGACGTCAAAGTTGTCGTCCGAATCCAGTACGATAAATTCATCATCGTACTGCTTTTCTTCTAGCGTGTAGTAGATTCCCACTACACGTTTGTTCACTGTTACGGATGCGCCTGTAGCAAGGCACACCATCATCCTCGTTGGAGGGAACAATCGCTCGACATAGTTGAGTCTACTATCCTCCAGCGACTGGCGTCGAATAAAACTGTTTGACGCCACACAGTCAACTAGGGCGCGAAGTGAGATTCAACTTGTCACTTCGATGTTTAAAGTGATGAGGGACTGCTCATCACTAAGAACAGTGACACACAGAGATAGTATGTTGGGAGTAATCTTCGTCAAGAGTCCTGCAAATCTCTTGACGTTGCTACATCAGCAGGGTGCTCCGCCCCTACCGACCCTGTCCATTTTTGGCGGTCCGACTTGCTGTCGCGGCTTAGCGACATGGTCTGACCCACGCCTCGGACCTTTCCTTGGTCATCACGTCCTGTCTTTGGACGTGTTGCGGTGCTTGGGACACTACACTCATGAGCGTAGTGTCCAGCTTCTGACAGCGATGGCATCTTGCCGTTCGCTTGTGACTCAGAGAGCGAGATTTCTCGCTCTAGATGTAACAGAGATCCATCGGTCCGGGACCTCCTGTTTCCTGTAGTCTCGTCGGATGATAGTTGGACGAGTAAGCATGAGACTGTCTTAGGCTGAAGTCTTTTTGTTCCACATAAGCTATCGCCTTTTCCAGCGTTTGGAAGTCTTCTCAGAACATGTAGGTGACCTTGTGCTCATCAACAGGGTTTTTACGATTCTACTCGCAAGGTAGCGTAGATGTTGTGCGTAAGCATGCACATCACGCTTACCTTGCTTGAGCCTCAGGAGTGCAGAGCGTGCTCTGTACTCGGCTCTCGGCTGTTCAAGCGTCTTCTTTAGCCAAGACGCTAAGATCTCCTACGACTTAAACACGTTTGGGTCGTGAAGCTTCAGCCCCAAGGCCCAAGTCTTTGATCGTTCTGTCAAATTTGACAGGGTGAAGGTGACTTGCATCGCGTCACCCTCGATGTGACGGGCCCTGATGGCGTCGTCTAACTCGACGAAACATCTCAAAAAAGAACCTTCATCGGTTTTCTTGTACCTTGGGATATCTATCTTTAAGGTTTCGGGTCGACGCATGTGCGTCGGCCTGCCCAACGATTGATGAGAGCCTTGCTGTTGTAGCAAGGCTCTCTTCTGTATTTCGACGGTGAGTTCCCATTGTAGGAGCTTATTTTTAGTAGCATGTTGCTGGTCTTTGCTGATAGACTCCATCATGCCATCGATGGCGGGTTCGCCCATGAGCACACTCATGCGGCCGACTACCTCCCATTTCAAGTCACTCAGATGGGAGTAGCCTTCACGTGTGACGTGAAAGCTGTCGTCTTCTACGTCCAACATGTTCATGTTGGATGGGCACTAAGTAGTCGTTGGAAGGACTACAACGTGCTACCAGGTGTAACGGGGCACCCTTTGCTTGGGCGCCACGAAACTTCACGTTCACTAGTACGTGCAGAGAAATGTAATCCATTCAACGACTAAGCTGAGTAAAGGGTAAAAGAGAACTGTATTTACATAGTGAAGCAATCAATTTAACTGTAGTCTTTATCTAACTATGTTAAACTACGTCGTCGTATGACGACAACCTGCTCACCACTCATTGCGCACGTCTAGCAGCGATTGGTGGTAATCTATGGGTGATATGTCATATATCAACCAATCGTTGAGCAGCGCATGAATATAATCCTGGAAGGGAAACATATTCCTTCAATAAAATCCATCTCGGATAAAATTGGTAGGGAATTGTCATGCTGGACAATATTCTTATTGGCACTCAAGAACCGCTGTCGGAAGTAGTCTCTCTCACGCGGCTAGGGATCCAAGGAAGCCAAGTAAAGGCCAGGATCTTAACACCCCTGAGACAACAAGGAAAGCCCAGGAAAAGACAAGCTACTTGAAGAACTTGGTTGTAATTACAATCCCGACAAGTCGATCGAGTGGCCACCTACCGGCCCAACCAGTGGAGCAAATAATCACTTGAGGCCCAGGTCTACTTCTGCCAAGATCGAAACATCTTCCTCCACATCCGAGTCGCCCGAATTGTGCGACCATCAAGCCGAACGGTACACAAGGTGAGTCATCTTCGTACGCAGAATCGGGAAAACCCCCTGTAAGTCGGTAGTCCGGCGCAGAGATTGTTTTGCGAGCTTAAAGCGCAAATCAGAAGATTCCTTCCACTGTAACGGGGTGAATCGTTACATAACAACTTATAAGAAATTGTTAATAGAATATAACTATGAGAGTTATGTTCTCAGAATATTGCCATGAGGACAAATATTCTGGAGCACTTACGAGTAGTTCCTAATTGGTTGATAGAGGCCATTATATCAACCAACGAAGACGCGCCACGACAGACGCACGCAATGAGTGGTGAGCAGATAACTGATTTACACATTTGCATTCAGACATAGTTAGATGAAGATAAATAGTGGTTTATTGACAGACATTAACTATTGTAAATACAGTTCTACTTTTTACTTTAACCAAGTACTCGCTTCTTCTTACCGTCTTCCTCTGCACGTACGAGTGTACGTGAAGTTCCGAGGCACCGCCTTATTCTGTCATCAGAATAGGTAGCTTGTACTGTCACCAGTACAAGCTTCAGGGTGCCCCGTTACACCTGGTAGCACTTCGTAGTCCGTCCAAGGACCACGTTCACATCCAACATGAATATGTTGGATGATGAAGATGACCAAAGCTTTCGCGCTACGCGTGACGGCTACTCCCATTTGAGCGATGTCGAATGGGATGCGGTTGAACGGATGGGTTCAACCATGGGCATCCATGCTGTTAGCGTCATGCTAGAGGCTCTCAATAGAGATGCCCAACATGCTACTATCGCCAAGTTCATTCAAAATGAACTTGACGCTGAACGCGAGAAAGTAGCCTTGCTTCACCAACAAGGTTCTCAACAATCAGAATTGTTGAGAGAACAGGATGCTCAACAGTTTGAACTGCTGAGACAGCAGCAGGCTGCTGCTGGTGGGTCGATGCACTCGCGTCGACCCGAGACCTTGAAGATTGACATCTCCAAGTATAGGGGAGTCGAAGAGGACTTCCTCTTAAGATGGTTCGTCGAATTAGACGACGCCGTAAGGGCGCGTCGCATCGACGACGGGGATATGCAAGTTGCATTTGCCCAGTCAAATCTGGCAGGACGTGCCAAGACTTGGGCACTGGGGCTCAAGTTGCACGACCCATATGCGTTTGGGTCGTTGGAAGTCTTCAAGTCGCGGCTCAGACAAACGTTTGAACCGCCTAGAGCTGAGTTCAGAGCTCGAACTAAACTCTTGAAGCTCAAACAAGGTAAGCGTGATGTGCACGCTTACGCGCAACATATACGACATCTTACGAGTTGTACAAGTCTCAATCCGGTGGATGAACACACGTTGGTTTCGGTGTTCATGCAGGGTATTGCGGATGGTCCCGTCAAGACTCACCTGTTCCGACTTGAACTAGATTCACTAGAACAAGCCATATCCATTGCGGAACAGGAAGACTTCAGTCTGAGACAGGCTCGCGCCAGCTCGACATCATATCGTCCACCGAGACGATATGACAACGGAGGTCCAGAGCCGATGGAACTCTGTTATGTAGAGAGCGAGAAGGCTCACTCTACAGACTACAAGAAGTTGCAGAGATGCAACAGATGTCAAAGACGGGACACTACGCTTACGAGTGTAATGCCCCTCGTCCAGTGTCTCACAACACTGGGCGTAGTGACCGTCCACCCATGAGAAAGGGGCAGGGACGCTGGTCCGCTGTTGGTGCAAAGACGCAACAACGGGATGGACCGTCGAAAAACGGACAGGATCAGTAGTTGCGGAGCACCCTACTGGTCCAGCAACGTCAAGAGAATTTTTAGGCCTCTTGATGAAGGTTGCTCTCAGCACACAAACGTTGTGCGTTGCTGCTCTAGTTAATGAGATCTCACTCATTACCTTGAAACTCGAAGTGACAAATAAGTTGTCCCTTCGAGCTCTAGTCGATTGTGGGGCGTCCAGCAATTTTGTGCGACGCCAATCGCTAGAAGATGGTCATTTTAAGTTCAGTGAATGTGACACACCTCCCACGAGGATGACGGTACGTCTTGCGACAGGCGCATCCGTAACCGTCATGAAGCGTATAGTGAAGATCCACTATACGCTAGAAGATACCCAATATGACGATGACTTTATCGTATTGAATTTGGATGACAAATTTGATGTCATCCTTGGAATACCGTGGCTCAGAAGGTACGAACCACGGGTAAACTGGCAACATCGAACAGTAACGATGCCTGCCGCTTGTTCATCAGATGGCCATCTGATGAACGTTTTGGAGCGTCCACAAGCGTGTGGCTGTACTACGAGTGAGTGCGATGGTCTCACTTGTGGTACGGTCGTTAGTACGACTGCACAAAACCTTAGTGTACCAAACGGTTACACTTTGGAGCAAATTTCCGGCGTCTGTGAGGAAACACACGCTGCGCCGAAGGTCCACCACTCGAACAAGTCGAGTGGACCGGGACAAAGATGTATCCCTAGCGGGGAACATCTAGAAGAGAAACAATCGATCGCTTAGGTTAAGCGAAACGATAATCCTAGATCGACTGGAGAGTCTTTCGTAGAGGATCTCGCTGTGGTTGCGCAACCACAGCTAGAGGAAGTAAAGGGAATAAGTCCCGATATTACAAATACGGTGAAAATAAGTTCCCCGAAACCCGCGGGAAATAAGTCCCCGGGAAGCCGAAGGAATAAGTCCTTCGAGGCCTGAGGGAATAAGTCCCCAGGAAATGACAGAGACATTGAATGTCATAGTCAATAACGGATCAAGTGTAGGCGCTTATACACTTGATCTGATTGCGCCTCCGAAGTTGACTTCGGAGATCACTCAGTTGCCAACGCTCGAACACAAAAGGTTCTTGCGTGATCTGCGTAGTGGCAAAGTCAAGCAGATCTGCGTACTCGTCGCTGACGACGAGTGTGTAGCCACATAAGGTCAGCAAAAGTGTTAATCAGAACGAGAGAGTTCTCAGTAGTTCATCTATGAACGAGAGTGTCCTAGATGAAAAGACACGAGTTGAGCGATATGACTCCCAATCGTGGGAATCGCTCAAGACAAATCCTCTCTATGAAGATTTGGTTGAATTCAAGAATGTAATCCCTGAAACTGTTCTGTGCGAATTACCGAACGATAAAGATACTCGAAACGAGGTCGAGCTTAAACCAGGCTCGAAGTACTGTGTCCATGAAGCAGTGGCCACTGCCTCGTGAACAAGTACTTGCGATCGACAAGTTCTTTGCCGATCGTTTAGCTGCGGACCATGTGAGGGAATCAACTTCCCCACATAGCTCTCCGACCTTCTGTGTGCGAAAAGCAACAGGAGGGTGGCGGATTGCGGATGCATTTAACAAGTTGAGTGTTGCAACGGTACGGTCTCAGACGCCAATACCAAGGAAGGACGTAATCATTGATGGTATGTCAAAGAGTACCATCTTTTCGTCCATGGATTTGATGGATGGCTTCGATCAAATCCTTATGCGAGAACGGGATATACCCTATACCGCAGTGAGCACGCCTAGCGGCATGTCTGGGAATAGCTAGTAATGCCACAAGGGCCTAGTAATGCCCCTGCCACGTTCAACAGATGTGTATCACATCTGTTGAGACCAGTACGAGAATTCGCGCACGAGTTATTTCGATGACGTATCCATCCATAGTCGGGCTATGGATGGAAAGTCGGACGTTGAGGTTCACAGATACCATGTCCGACAGGTTCTTACAATCATGCGTAAGCATCAATTGTATGCAAATCTCAAGAAGTGTATATTTGCAGCAAGCGAAATACCACTTCTTGGGTGCATCGTTGGTAAGAACGGAGTACGTCCTGATCCCGAAAAGATCAAGGCGATCACCGACTGGCCTGTGCCGGTTGATGTCAAAGGTCTTCGAAAATTCCTTGGGTTAGCGGCGTATTTGCATAAGTATTCACGCAATTACGCCGAGATGACTGTGCACCTCTCTCGTTTGTTGAAAAAGAACGAGAGGTGGTTATGGAACGCTGAATGTCAGCGCTCCTTTGATGGTATCAAGTAGAGCTTGATACAATCCCCAGTCCTAGCAATAGCCGATCAGGACAGGCCATTTCATGTGGTCTGTGATGCCAGCGATTTCGCAATCGGCTGTGCATTCATGCAGTACGATCTTGAAGGCGTTGAACGCGTCGTCTGCTATCAGTCGCGTCATCTGCAACCAGCTGAGCGGAACTATCCAGTGCATGACAAGAAACTCCTTGCCATGAAGTATGCACTCGCGAAGTTCAGGGTCTATCTATTAGGAGATAGACCCTTCATTGTTTACACAGACCATGCGTCGATACGCAAGGCAGTGAACAGCCCGCACCTTTCACAACGAATGGCGCGGTGGTTGTCATTCTTTGCAGAATACAACTTTACGGTCGAGTACAAACCAGGACGACTTAATGTCGTCGCTGATGCACTCTCACGTCGTCCAGACTTTGAACCAGTCGTGAAACCCAACAGTGAGGCAGTCACCGTTGCGGTTATGACGTCCTCAGTCCCATCTACAACGTTTTATGATGATGTGAGGCGGGTGTATGCCCAAGATGGTGAGATAGTGAAATTGTTGACACATCTCTCTCAACCATCTCGAGAATCGTTGAAACAGTTATCGTCTGCGTATCTATCTGCATCAGATCGATGCACTACTTGCAACGGGTTACTGTATTATACAGCCGTTTCTGGTGTCACACCACGTGTTGTCATCCCTGATGATACTGATCTGCGTTTGCGGATCATGTTCGAAAATCACGATGCTCCTATAGGAGGACATCGTGGCCGAGAGAAAACGTATCTCACGGTGAGTCGAGACTTTTACTGGCCCCGCCAGTATCAGTTTGTGCGAAAGTATGTTCGCGCATGCGAAGTCTGTCAACGAGTGAAGTCAAGTCCTTCACTGCGTGCACCTTTGCAGCCTTTACCGGTTCCGGCTAAGTGCTGGGAATCTACCTCAATGGATTTCTTCTTCGGGTTACCCAAAGACGCACGCAAGAATACGGGTATTCTTGTATTTGTTGACAGATTCAGCAAAATGGTACACCTTGTGGCTGTACGGGAGTCAATCACGGCAAGTGGCTGTGCTTGTGTCTTTATCGACACCATCTTCCGACTTCATGGGTTGTCCCGTGAACTCGTATCAGACAGAGATCCACGATTCACTGCTGATTTCTGGCGCTCCGTGTTCAAATCACTCGGAACGCGCTTGAAGATGTCTACATCTGATCATCCAGAGTCAGATGGTCAGACGGAACGTGCCAATCGTGTCTTCGAAGAGATACTTCGAGGATACGTACACTCCTTTGAGAGTTGGAGTGAGTTCTTGCCAATGGTAGAGTTTGCCATTAACAACTCGGTACGTGCGTCCACGACACATACACCGTTTTACGTGAATGGCTTGCGCCATCCGCGTGTACCCACCTTACTCGAGTGTAACTCTGGTTTAAGGGCTCGCGCGAGCAAAAACCGATTTGGTTCACGCTCATCACGCTCTGACGATGAGGTCATTGCGTTTGATGCCGATATCGATGTTATCGATATCGAAGAAGATGATGCCAGTGAGAGTGCGGAAGCCCTCACTGAAGAAAAGGTTGATGTTGCTGCAGTGCGCTCACAGCGCACTCAAGCTAACGAGTCATCAGATGAGTTCATACTGGCTCGTGAAACGGTAGTCCGTTTTGTGCAAGATTCCATCGCCGAAGCGGTGGATAAGTAAAAGCAAAAACGCTGACAAGAATGGAAGGGTAAACACTCTTTTATTTAATAAAGGTGAATTAGTCCTACTGTCTACGGTTGATCTACCGAAGCATGTAGTAACTAACTTGGGTAGTAGTAAACTGCTACCCAAGTACATCGGCCCATTTCGTGTATTGCACCGCCTAGGCAATGCATACACGATCGAGTTGCCACGTAAGATGCGAACGCATCCCACGTTTGACGTTGGTTGGCTTAAGCCGTACCATCAGTACGCTGCTTCTTCCGATGAAGAACGCCCTTGCGCTCAAGCATCTCGCAGAGAGCCTTGTGCTCCCGATGATGGGCATCGACAAGGGTCTGGAGAGCAGTTATCTCATCCCGAGACCGATCAACAATCCCACGATCTACCCTTAGCTCGTCACGAAGAGATGTCAGAGCTCTCTCGTTCTCAAGCTGAGCAAAGGCAAACTCAGCTCGATTCTCCGAGACAGCGTCCGCCAGTTGGAGACGCCTATTCCGCTCATGTTCGAGATCGTCGCGTAACCCTTGCGTTATGCGATCAAAGAAGCTCTCGGGAACACACGGATCCCCACGATATCGTGTGGAGAGCGTCTTTCCTCCTCCTCCACCTCCAATTGAGGACTCTCGCGGTGGCCAGCGCTATCTAGTTGAGCAGCTGTTGAACCACCGCGACGTGAACGGACGTCGGACGAGTTATCTCGTCCGGTGGCGCGGCTATCCCCCGTCCTGGGATACTTATGAGCCCCGATCCCAACTGATGGTTGACGTACTGGGTCTGGTTGAGCAGTACGACGCGGCACATCCTGTGCCGCAGAAGGACCGCCGGAGAAAGTCTTCCCGGCACGGTCGTAAAGGGATTTCAGGTTGTCAATCCCTTCGTACATCTCACTAGAGATACGTACGCGCCACCACGGGCTAGTAAGGAGGTAAGCCTCCTTAGGTGCTCGTGCAGAGTTGTTCACACAACATGGGCACGAGTCTCCCCAAGAGAGGCAGGGTAATCCCTTCTCCCTTGACAGACGATGCAGCTTGTAGCGTGCACCTGTCGGGGTTCGCTTTTCATAATTATCACGAGCTTTGATAAGTTTGTCGTTCCAAGCGTCACGAACTACATCCTCAAGGTTATGGATGTAGGCGTTCCACGCTTGAAGCAGTGAGGGACCATCACGCTTGTGATTCCCACTGTACCATCGATGTCTAAAGAAAGCATCGATGAAGAAGTCATTCTTAGCGCGATAGTTTTTCGCGCTGGGGTCAAGGTGATGGATCCTTGACGAATCGAACAATCGTGTTCGATAACGATCACTCGTCGTCGCCGACAAGTGATCCATGACGGATTTAGGAGGCATCCATGCCTTCTTCTCGGGAGCGAGAAGCAAGACATTGCGGTCCCGCTCTTCCTGCGACGTGCCGACAGAAGTACTGGCACCTCGTTGCGAAGTGGTGTCCATAGGAGAACCGACACCACTGTTAGCGCCCGAGTCTTGCGATCTCGAACGCCTTCGCTTCGGCGATGGTTCATCTGATTCGTCAGACGAACCAAAGATACTACGACGCATAGCATCATCCATGCCACGCTTGGCAGGCGGCTTGGATTCGATAGCCGTCGATACAGATCCGTCTTCCGTATCAGGAGAGTATGAGACTCCGAGCTCATACTCTGTGAAGACATGAGCTGCTCATCATTACGAGCGCCTGCATCACCAAGTGATACAGGCTGAGTCGCTTCAGCAACCGATGAGACATCAGTTGCTGCGGTTTCTGCTTCGGCGGCCTTGCTCGCGCATCGCATGGGCTTGTTAACCATGCGATGAACTGTTGGGTGGACTTGGACCAACAAGTGCAAACCCTGTCCCGAATGATTTGAGACGAACCATTTAGTCAATCAGTCACTAAAGTGACTGATGGTTGAGGGGGGGTGATGTTACGGGGTGAATCGTTACATAACAATTTATAAGAAATTGTTAGTAGAATATAACTATGAGAGTTATATTCTCAGAATATTGTCATAAGGACAAATATTCTGTAGCACTTACGAGTAGTTCCTAATTGGTTGATAGAGGCCATTATATCAACCAACGAAGACGCCACGACAGACGCACGCAATGAGTGGTGAGCAGATAGTTGATTTTCACATTTATTCAGACATAGTTAGATGAAGATAAATAGTGGTTTATTGACAGACATTAACTATAGTAAATACAGTTCTACTTTTACTTTAACCAAGTACTCGCTTCTTCTTACCGTCTTCCTCTGCACGTACGAGTGTACGTGAAGTTCCGAGGCACCGCCTTATTCTGTCATCAGAATAAGTAGCTTGTACTGTCACCAGTACAAGCTTCAGGGTGCCCCGTTACAAATGCGCATGTCTCGCTCGACGCGACGCGACGTTGCGTCGAGCGAGACATGCGTGTTGTAACGGGGCACCCTCAAGCTTATACTGGTGACAGTACAAGCTACTTATTCTGATGACAGAATAAGGCGGTGCCTCGGAACTTCACGTACACTCGTACGTGCAGAGGAAGACGGTAAGAAGAAGCGAGTACTTGGTTAAAGTAAAAAGTAGAACTGTATTTACAATAGTTAATGTCTGTCAATAAACCACTATTTATCTTCATCTAACTATGTCTGAATGCAAATGTGTAAATCAGTTATCTGCTCACCACTCATTGCGTGCGTCTGTCGTGGCGCGTCTTCGTTGGTTGATATAATGGCCTATATCAACCAATTAGGAACTACTCGTAAGTGCTACAGAATATTTGTCCTTATGACAATATTCTGAGAATATAACTCTCATAGTTATATTCTACTAACAATTTCTTATAAATTGTTATGTAACGATTCACCCCGTAACATCACCCCCCCTCAACCATCAGTCACTTTAGTGACTGATTGACTAAATGGATACTCGTCTCAAATCATTTGGGACAGGGTTTGCACTTGTTGGTCCAAGTCCACTTTCCAACAGTTCATCGCATGGTTAACAAGCCCATGCGATGCGCGAGCAAGGCCGCCGAAGCAGAAACCGCAGCAACTGATGTCTCATCGGTTGCTGAAGCGACTCAGCCTGTATCACTTGGTGATGCAGGCGCTCGTAATGAAGACACTCATGTCTTCACAGAGTATGAGCTCGGAGTCTCATACTCTCCTGATACGGAAGACGGATCTGTATCGACGGCGATCGAATCCAAGCCGCCTGCCAAGCGTGGCATGGATGATGCTATGCGTCGTAGTATCTTTGGTTCGTCTGACGAATCAGACGAACCATCGCCAAAGCGAAGGCGTTCGAGATCGCAAGACTCGGGCGCTAACAGTGGTGTCGGTTCTCCTATGGACACCACTTCGCAACGAGGTGCCAGTACTTCTGTCGGCACGTCGCAGGAAGAGCGGGACCGCAATGTCTTGCGTCTCGCTCCCGAGAAGAAGGCATGGATGCCTCCTAAATCCGTCATGGATCACTTGTCGGCGACGACGAGTGATCGTTATCGAACACGATTGTTCGATTCGTCAAGGATCCATCACCTTGACCCCAGCGCGAAAAACTATCGCGCTAAGAATGACTTCTTCATCGATGCTTTCTTTAGACATCGATGGTACAGTGGGAATCACAAGCGTGATGGTCCCTCACTGCTTCAAGCGTGGAACGCCTACATCCATAACCTTGAGGATGTAGGTCGTGACGCTTGGAACGACAAACTTATCAAAGCTCGTGATAAGTTTGAAAAGCGAACCCCGACAGGTGCACGCTACAAGCTGCATCGTCTGTCAAGGGAGAAGGGATTACCCTGCCTCTCTTGGGGAGACTCGTGCCCATGTTGTGTGAACAACTCTGCACGAGCACCTAAGGAGGCTTACCTCCTTACTAGCCCGTGGTGGCGCGTACGTATCTCTAGTGAGATGTACGAAGGGATTGACAACCTGAAATCCCTTTACGACCGTGCCGGGAAGACTTTCTCCGGCGGTCCTTCTGCGGCACAGGATGTGCCGCGTCGTACTGCTCAACCAGACCCAGTACGTCAACCATCAGTTGGGATCGGGGCTCCCAAGTATCCCAGGACGGGGGATAGCCGCGCCACCGGACGAGATAACTCGTCCGACGTCCGTTCACGTCGCGGTGGTTCAACAGCTGCTCAACTAGATAGCGCTGGCCACCGCGAGAGTCCTCAATTGGAGGTGGAGGAGGAGGAAAGACGCTCTCCACACGATATCGTGGGGATCCGTGTGTTCCCGAGAGCTTCTTTGATCGCGTAACGCAAGGGTTACGCGACGATCTCGAACATGAGCGGAATAGGCGTCTCCAACTGGCGGACACTGCCTTGAAGCATCGAGCTGAGTTTGCCTTTGCTCAGCTTGAGAACGAGAGAGCTCTGACATCTCTTCGTGACGAGCTAAGGGTAGATCGTGGGATTGTTGATCGGTCTCGGGATGAGATAACTGCTCTCCAGACCCTTGTCGATGCCCATCATCGGGAGCACAAGGCTCTCTGCGAGATGCTTGAACGCGAGGGCGTTCTTCATCGGAAGAAGCAGCGTACTGATGGTACGGCTTAAGCCAACCAACGTCAAACGTGGGATGCGTTCGCATCTTACGTGGCAACTCGATCGTGTATGCATTGCCTAGGCGGTGCAATACACGAAATGGGCCAATGTACTTGGGTAGTAGTAAACTGCTACCCAAGTTAGTCACTACATGCTTTGGTAGATCAACCGTATACAGTAGGACTAAGTCACTTTTATTAAATAAAAGAGTGTTTACCCTTCCATTCTTGTCAGCGTTTTTTGCTTTTACTTATCCACCGCTTCGGCGATGGAATCTTGCACAAAACGGACTACCGTTTCACGAGCCAGTATGAACTCATCTGATGACTCGTTAGCTTGAGTGCGCTGTGAGCGCACTGCAGCAACGACAGCCTTTTCTTCAGTGAGGGCTTCCGCACTCTCACTGGCATCATCTTCTTCGATATCGATAACATCGATATCGGCATCAAACGCAATGACCTCATCGTCAGAGCGTGATGAGCGTGAACCAAATCGGTTTTTGCTCGCGCGAGCCCTTAAACCAGAGTTACACTCGAGTAAGGTGGGTACACGCGGATGGCGCAAGCCATTCACGTAAAACGGTGTATGTGTCGTGGACACATGCACCGAGTTGTTAATGGCAAACTCTACCATTGGCAAGAACTCACTCCAACTCTTAAAGGAGTGTACGTATCCTAGAAGTATCTCTTCGAGGACACGATTGGCACGTTCCGTCTGACCATCTGACTCTGGATGATCAGATGTAGACATCTTCAAGCGCGTTCCGAGTGATTTGAACACGGAGCGCCAGAAATCAGCAGTGAATCGTGGATCTCTGTCTGATACGAGTTCACGGGACAACCCATGAAGTCGGAAGATGGTGTCGATAAAGACACAAGCACAGCCACTTGCCGTGATTGACTCCCGTACAGCCACAAGGTGTACCATTTTGCTGAATCTGTCAACAAATACAAGAATACCCGTATTCTTGCGTGCGTCTTTGGGTAACCCGAAGAAGAAATCCATTGAGGTAGATTCCCAGCACTTAGCCGGAACCGGTAAAGGCTGCAAAGGTGCACGCAGTGAAGGACTTGACTTTACTCGTTGACAGACTTCGCATGCGCGAACATACTTTCGCACAAACTGATACTGGCGGGGCCAGTAAAAGTCTCGACTCACCGTGAGATACGTTTTCTCTCGGCCACGATGTCCTCCTATAGGAGCATCGTGATTTTCGAACATGATCCGCAAACGCAGATCAGTATCATCAGGGATGACAACACGTGGTGTGTCACCAGAAACGGCTGTATAATACAGTAACCCGTTGCGAGTAGTGCATCGATCTGATGCAGATCGATACGCAGACGATAACTGTTTCAACGATTCTCGAGATGGTTGAGAGAGATGTGTCAACAATTTCACAATCTCAGCATCTTGGGCATACGCCCGCCTCGCATCATCATGCAACGTTGAAGATGGTACTGAGGACGTCACAACCGCAACAGTGACTGCCTCACTGTTGGGTTTTACGACTGGTTCAAAGTCGGGACGACGTGAGAGTGCATCAGCGACGACATTAAGTCGTCCTGGTTTGTACTCGACCGTAAAGTTGTATTCTGCAAAGAATGACAACCACCGCGCCATTCGTTGTGAAAGGTGCGGGCTGTTCACTGCCGTGCGTAACGATGCATGGTCTGTGTAAACAATGAAGGGTCTATCTCCTAATAGATAGACTCTGAACTTCGCGAGTGCATACTTCATGGCAAGGAGTTCCTTGTCATGCACTGGATAGTTCCGCTCAGCTGGTTGCAGCTGACGCGACTGATAGCAGACGACGCGTTCAACGCCTTCAAGATCGTACTGCATTAATGCACAGCCGATTGCGAAATCGCTGGCATCACAGACCACATGAAATGGCCTGTCCTGATCGGCTATTGCTAGGACTGGGGATTGTATCAAGCTCTGCTTGATACCATCAAAGGAGCGCTGACATTCAGCGTTCCATAACCACCTCTCGTTCTTTTTCAACAAACGAGAGAGGTGCACAGTCATCTCGGCGTAATTGCGTGAATACTTATGCAAATACGCCGCTAACCCAAGGAATTTTCGAAGACCTTTGACATCAACCGGCACAGGCCAGTCGGTGATCGCCTTGATCTTTTCGGGATCAGGACGTACTCCGTTCTTACCAACGATGCACCCAAGAAGTGGTATTTCGCTTGCTGCAAATATACACTTCTTGAGATTTGCATACAATTGATGCTTACGCATGATTGTAAGAACCTGTCGGACATGGTATCTGTGAACCTCAACGTCCGACTTTCCATCCATAGCCCGACTATGGATGGATACGTCATCGAAATAACTCGTCGCGAATTCTCGTACTGGTCTCAACAGATGTGATACACATCTGTTGAACGTGGCAGGGGCATTACTAGGCCCTTGTGGCATTACTAGCTATTCCCAGACATGCCGCTAGGCGTGCTCACTGCGGTATAGGGTATATCCCGTTCTCGCATAAGGATTTGATCGAAGCCATCCATCAAATCCATGGACGAAAAGATGGTACTCTTTGACATACCATCAATGATTACGTCCTTCCTTGGTATTGGCGTCTGAGACCGTACCGTTGCAACACTCAACTTGTTAAATGCATCCGCAATCCGCCACCCTCCTGTTGCTTTTCGCACACAGAAGGTCGGAGAGCTATGTGGGGAAGTTGATTCCCTCACATGGTCCGCAGCTAAACGATCGGCAAAGAACTTGTCGATCGCAAGTACTTGTTCACGAGGCAGTGGCCACTGCTTCATGACACAGTACTTCGAGCCTGGTTTAAGCTCGACCTCGTTTCGAGTATCTTTATCGTTCGGTAATTCGCACAGAACAGTTTCAGGGATTACATTCTTGAATTCAACCAAATCTTCATAGAGAGGATTTGTCTTGAGCGATTCCCACGATTGGGAGTCATATCGCTCAACTCGTGTCTTTTCATCTAGGACACTCTCGTTCATAGATGAACTACTGAGAACTCTCTCGTTCTGATTAACACTTTTGCTGACCTTATGTCGGCTACACACTCGTCGTCAGCGACGAGTACGCAGATCTGCTTGACTTTGCCACTACGCAGATCACGCAAGAACCTTTTGTGTTCGAGCGTTGGCAACTGAGTGATCTCCGAAGTCAACTTCGGAAGCGCAATCAGATCAAGTGTATAAGCGCCTACACTTGATCCGTTATTGACTATGACATTCAATGTCTCTGTCATTTCCTGGGGACTTATTCCCTCAGGCCTCGAAGGACTTATTCCTTCGGCTTCCCGGGGACTTATTCCCGCGGATTTCGGGGAACTTATTTTCACCGTATTTGTAATATCGGGACTTATTCCCTTTACTTCCTCTAGCTGTGGTTGCGCAACCACAGCGAGATCCTCTACGAAAGACTCTCCAGTCGATCTAGGATTATCGTTTCGCTTAACCTAAGCGATCGATTGTTTCTCTTCTAGATGTTCCCCGCTAGGGATACATCTTTGTCCCGGTCCACTCGACTTGTTCGAGTGGTGGACCTTCGGCGCAGCGTGTGTTTCCTCACAGACGCCGGAACTTTGCCCCGAAGTGTGACCGTTTGTTACACTAAGGTTTTGTGCAGTCGTACTAACGACCGTACCACAAGTGAGACCATCGCACTCACTCGTAGTACAGCCACACGCTTGTGGACGCTCCAAAACGTTCATCAGATGGCCATCTGATGAACAAGCGGCAGGCATCGTTACTGTTCGATGTTGCAAGTTTACCCGTGGTTCGTACCTTCTGAGCCACGGTATTCCAAGGATGACATCAAATTTGTCATCCAAATCCAATACGATAAAGTCATCGTCATATTGGGTATCTTCTAGCGTATAGTGGATCTTCACTATACGCTTCATGACGGTTACGGATGCGCCTGTCGCAAGACGTACCGTCATCCTCGTGGGAGGTGTGTCACATTCACTGAACTTAAAGTGACCATCTTCTAGCGATTGGCGTCGCACAAAATTGCTGGACGCCCCACAATCGACTAGAGCTCGAAGGGACAACTTATTTGTCGCTTCGAGTTTCAAGGTAATGAGTGAGATCTCATTACCTAGAGCAGCAACGCACAACGTTTGTGTGCTGGGAGACCATAAGAGGCCAACAAATTCTCTTTGACATTACTAGACCCGGTAGGGTGCTCCGCACCTACTGATCCTGTC